GAGTCCAATTAACCCCACCCCTGTGTACTTCAGGAGCGGCAGGTAAAGTTACGGCCAGGGAAGGTAAATATGATCCAAAATAAAAGAGAAATTACGCGAGATAAAAGCAGTGGCAATATATTTATATATCTGCGCCGGCGACCCGACTTCAGCCACCAGCTGTAATCGACAATAAAAAAACAGCAAAAAAAAACAAAAAAAAACATGTCTGCTGTAATCGAGAGGTAAGAGAGGAGGGACTTCTTGTCGCGGCGTTAAAGTTCCGGGCTCAAATCGCGTTACGATGTTTTTCCTTTAATTTTTATAAATTTATATTTTGGTCATGTGGCTTACTTTTTAACTGTGATCCTTTTTAGAACTCGTCCACTTGCACGGCTGCGCCTTACACGTTTTTTTATTAAGGCGGACGCCTTATATATCTCATCGTTCAGTTGACCTTCAAAGTCCTTGAGCGAGAACACGTCGGCGACACGAAAAGTACGAAAACACGTCGGCGACACGAAAGGTACCAATGAAATGGCGCCAAAACTGCGTCGTCAGAGAGCGCGCTGTCTTCGGAGGTTCGCTATCACGTTTACATCGGAGCTTGGGCTTACGCCCAAGCGCCGATGTAAGACCCTAGCCCAAGACCCTAGCCCAGATTCGCAAAGAGCTTCTTAGGTTACGACAACTTAGCTAAAAAGTTAGCAAGTTAAGAACATCGAAGGGGAGAAATTAGTATTCACGAGCGCGTTCTTAAGTGAGAAGAGGAAAGCGACGTTTTCGTACGGAAAAACTAGAACTTCCGGTGTAACGCAAGCTTCCGATCCCCGCGAGAGCGGGCTGCTGCTATGGCAACGGCGTCTTCGATAACAAGAACAACCAATCGGAGAGCTCGGCATGGTTCGGAGCACATGGATGGTTAATAACAAACACAGGCAGCCTTTCCGCTACCGCTTGTCTGGGGTTCGTGTCCGTGCAGTGATATGTCGACGCTAACAGGATTTAAACGCGCCCGAATGCCAAGGCGGGATGCGTAACCGCTTCCGTTGACTGCTGCGAACTCGATCGCTACGAAGTCAACACAACTGTCATCGTTGCTAAAAGAAGACGACCCCTGCCAGTCGTTTGCAAAGCGGCGTTGATAGAAACAAATCGCCGCGGCGTTTTTCGCGGCCTCGGAGATGCAGGACCGACCCGACGTTGTTTGAACTACGAGAGTGTCAGCAAAAGTCACGTAAATGTCTGTTCACATTCGGAGCGGACTTGCGCGTTTGATCGAAGTGCAGCATTCACGCTGTTGAACCGCGTCTTGGTAAGCGCTTCGGGACCGATCTTTTACGACTGCAACCCGATTCTGACGTGACACTCGACAAAGAAAGGTTGGACCGGCATCGCGTAGCTCCCACGAACTGTTATAGCTTGACAGTGACGTACCATCGTGTCAGAATAAAAATGGCATACTAATAACGAAGTGTACATACCGCGTTGCGAAGGTAATCCACACGGTGTTTATTTGAGCTCTATATTACATAAAACAAGGAGATAGAATCCATGAGAGTCCCTTTTCGACGACAGCGTTCGTCACCGCTGCCTCGGGAAGCAAGGAGATTACAAGGGGAAGAGATTGACTTCGTAATCTAAAATTGAGTTCAGCGATCAAACTATTAATACAGGAAGGGTCCACAAGGGTCGCGCGGGCATATTCCATTCAGCAAGCCAGCCGGTCGTGGGCAGACGGTCTTGGCCAAGGACCGTCGGAGCAACGCTACCTTGGAGCAGGTCGGAGTGCCTGCTAAGTCTTTATTATGCCGAACTCGTTTCTTCGGTGGGATCGTTGCCGTTGTAGCTTTTCCCGGGTGGTTGTGGATCCAGCATTGATATTCGTCGTGGTCGGTTTCAAGTACTGCCTTCTTCTTTCTTGCTGCTTGAAGTCGGGACGCGCGAGAAGAGCACGTTAAAAAATAAATATCCGTTGGTCGTCGCGACCAAAAAACTGAGCGAAGCTGTCGGCCATGTTGATTTGATCGTAAAAAGTGCGTAAGACAGCTCCGGAGCTGTCGTAGGATTCCGTCGTAACCTGCGCAAGAGTTACGATAACTTCGTAACTCTTGCGCTTACCTTACTTTTGTTCTTACCTTTTGTCGTACGCACATTTTTGGTGTAAGATCGTTCCGTGAATCTGGCGTCCTGTGTTTTTGTTTGTCCCACCTGTTGAATCGACACACCTGAAGAAAAAAACATCAATCCAAGTTAGTGCGCTAATACGACCGTTTTATAATGTTCATTAAAAGGAAACTAAGATGACAGCATCGGATGACTTGCATACAAACAGAGCTGAAACAAGTATCCTTTCCCCAACAACTACAATTTTATGTGTTTTTAAATATAAAACGCTCTTTCTTCGCCTATTTTTAATAACAGGATGCGACTATTGAGTACTAATACACACGGCAGTTGTATCAATTAAAAAAATTGAAACTTAAAAAAAAACAAAAAAAAACTAGCAGCCGTGAATGCATTGATTGAGCGAAATCCTACAGGCACAGCAGCAAGTGAAACGTCTGAGAAAGTCGTAAAACGGAAACAAACGGGATTAACCTTTCACTTTAAGGCGGTCTCGGAACACGCGTTCCCAGCCTAGCATCAGAATGCCATACTGCCGATACATACGTTCTCGCCGAGCAAGGCGTCTCGACCTAGATGACATGTCTTTAGGTTGTCAGACACATACAGAGTGTTGATAAGTCTGCAAATCAGTCGTAGTCAGTGCGTCGGTCGGTCGGTCGGTGACGGTTTAGCAATCGGCCAAGAAGCGGTTGAAAGAAATGCAGGTGCTGCAGAACCGAAAGTGGCGAAAACACGCAACAGGTAGCCTAGCCAGACGTTTTGGGACAAAATATACATTTGCTGCATTTAGTGAAACTAACTATTAAAACAGATGTTTAGCAAGAAACGACGACTCAGAAATAGCAAGAACGATTCGTAAAAATGATCACAGTTCGCCGGATTAGAAATGGATCGTGTCTGCCGGATTAGAAATGATGACCCCGAACTCTGGACAGCTAGCGCCATCTATGAGCGACGGCGGCTAGCAGACAATTGGTTGCCGCCGTCGCTCATAGATGGCGGCAACTTTTCTTCAGAAGAACACCTTTCTTCAATTTTACTGATTTTACAGTTTTACTTACGAACAACCTTTCTACGGTTTTACTGAGGAACACAACCATATGATATAGCCTGCTCTAAGTGGCGACTCGAGACATGGTGGAAAACGCATCGGTGACACCAGTGGTTTATTGTTTTGTTTCAGTTTTTGGCACGTCTATACCATAGACTTTCGTTGAAAAGAGATCGCACTGCAAATATACATGCATACATACATGCATACACACACATACATACATACATACATACATACACACACACACATACACACACATACATGCATACATACATACATACATACATGCATGAATGCATACATTCATACATACATACATACATACATACATACATACCCGAAGAAGAGCGGGAGCGGAATGAGAGGCGATGTGCGCAGCAGCGCGGATGGTTCAGCAACCGCCGCGCAGCCGCTATCGCCTAAAGTTTCACAGCGTCGAGCGCTTCAGATTCCCTTGCGAAAGAAGAGCAGATCGCTCGCCTGCAAAGCCAGCGCCGAGAACAAAAGCCACTAAACAAAACAAAAAAAAAAGCCGTGAACAGAACCCCATAGCTCCGCTGCTCTTCCTTCTTCACCAGAGTGGAAAGGCTGAAAGCTTTTTTCTTTTATTTTGGCTCATATTTCCCTTCCCTGGCCGTAACTTTACCCGCTGCTCCTGAAATATAAAGGGGCGATAATTAATTGGACTCCCGTTGAAAGCCTCAGCGGTCAATTTCTGCGAGCGAAATGAAACTTCTGTACTCGAAGTGACACGGATTTTTCTGCCATTAGGCAAGGACGCTAGGTACTTGCATGTCCCCATGGAGCTGGTCACGTGACATAAAAATCCCTCTTGGCCGCCACTGCGGCCGCGGCCAGAAGATGAGCAAACCGGCCCAGACGCCCAGACGCCCGCTGACTAACTTCCGGCTGCATAAACATTCACAAAACATTATTATTATTATTAACACATATGAGTAGCTTGCGCTCAGCCTGATTCAAAATAACTAAAGTGGACTATATTATATTATAAATATCAATCAAAATAATTTTATTCAAAAATACGTCTGGGAGGGTGATGAAAGAGGCGGTTCATGTCACCTGACTAGGCTCCATCGCTAGTCACTCAGCATGATTCACGCCTATAATATGTTATCGAAATCAATCAAAAATCGTTTTATTTAGGCATATTTCTTGGGGAACCGGGCAAAAGGCGACTCATGTCGCTTGACTAGGCTCCATTCTTATCCTATTCATAGAAACTCTTACTTGATACAACTTCCACACTCGATTTGGACGAGCTCGTGAACAAAACGAGTGACCATCCTGCCTTGTACTGTACTACTCTGCAGACCTACGAAGCAATCGAAATTTAAATTTGTTAATTTTTCACTTCCTTTCCGCGATTTTGTGGTTGGGGGATTCTTTGAGATATCGTTAAAATAAGACGCTTGCAGCAAAAAAATAAATATATAAATAAGGCAATTCACTTTTGACGTACCGCTGAAGAAGAAGTGCAAATGTGAAAAATAGAAATGTAACGACGAGCATTCTACGAATACCGCACCCGTCATGCTCAGTCACTGTGCTGTTGCGTTCGGTCCGACCCGCAAAGAGTTTCTCGAAGAGTTTTTTTTTTTTATTTCTAGGCGTCATTGGTTTTAGACGGTGGTAGAAAACCCACAAAGCGTTGTGACGATGCACTTTTGGCGGGCTCTTGCCTTCCTGGTTCTCGCTCTACCATTGCTTTTTGGCTGGCTCTACCATTTAAGATCTACGGGTGACTTTAATTACATTTGTGTGCGTTTTGCCCGTTCATATTGTGACAGTCTGTTTTCTTTCAACTTTGTCTTTGCAGGCAACAAGGACTCAACATGTCTTACTCAAGATCATCGTACAGGTCATCGAAGTACAGCGAAGGTGGGCAGGAGAGAGAAAGAGAGAGAGAGAGACATGAGAAAAACTGCATCTCATTGGAGTTCGGAGGCGCATTCGCTGCGGCTGTCTTATCTTGACCTGCTTATGATACATTTAATTCAGTGCAGTCTCGGTCAAGTTAATTTTTACGCTAAGATAGTTTACCAAAAGCTTTTAACGTACATCTGGCGCACCGTCTTTGCGGTGCAGAGTGTACAGAGTGCCACACAGTTAGCGCAAACAAGCGATCACCGGTTTTAGTTAAACTTACTTGAGTAGCAGAAAATCTTCTTTGCGGCGTCAACCTAAAGAATTAAATGTGTCTTTATTATCCTGTCAAAGTACAGTGTATATCAAATTTCTTTTACACTTGTCATCCGATTCTCCTGGATTTTCATGCTACAGAGGAAACTCGCTGGTTCGCCGATTGCTGAGAGTGTTTCACATCAAATGCTTTCTAAATGCTCGTGTGGCACGGCTGTTGGATGGCTTACACCCCTGCCACACGAGCATATCTAGAGAGACATTTAGATCAAAGGCACTTAGAGAATAAGTGAGCTGGATCGTTAACTACCGTTCATAAGGAGTCATTGATATGTCGGTGTAGAACGGGTAGTAGTCAGGGCATACGCCTGACACATGGGTTGTAAAAAAGCCTGTCTTAGGCTTTGCATTTTTTTGTCATAGCGCATTTGAGGACATGAGCATTCAACACATATACAAAACCGTCAAACCGATACTTTATCTCTCATGTATTATTAAATGTGTTCTTTTTAATTCTTATGTGATGCAAGTTTTAGGAATGAGCTAACGCAAGATTCCTATGAAGTTAAAAAAAGAGCAGTGATTGAATCTGGGCAGTGCAAAGAAATGCAAATATCGCAATTATAATAAACTGGCATATCTTTAAAACATTAATTGCAGCTAGATATGGTTTTAGGTTCCTTCGAAACTGCCATATCATACGGACTGCAGATATCTATGCACATAAACACATTTTGCGGTGCTAGAAGACCCGGTAGTGTTCTTATTGTGCATACAAATACACATTAGGGGCTTATTGATGATTCTCTGAACTATGTGGAATTTACCTTGTCAGTGTTCCTCGCAGCAGTTAACATTCCCTTAGAAATTGTTGTGAACGAAAAACAGAACGAAAGCCATCTGTGTTGGAACATGGATAAGTGGAAGTATTAGCTTAGTCTCCCCGAGCAGACACCTTTTTTTACACCGAGAGGTTTTCGGTCTCACTATTTTCTAATTTCTGTCAAGCGATCACAATGATCCAGCGCTGCGAACTGCGCGTCAACGTTTCCGCACAGCATTCTGAGACCACATAGAGCCCTGCTAATGCAAGAGCACTGAGAGTGTGTGGACACAACAAATCGGCCTTTGGTGTAACCTTGTAATCGGGGACAACGTTCGGTGGCATTTCCGAAGAGGGGAGGAGTGCGCGTGCACACCTTTCATCGGAGCTCAAGGTGCGTGAGCGTTCGCACTCCCGTACATATCTTTGATTCCATTGGCACAGAAAAGTTATCCCGATGGTTAATATGGTGTATGTGTAACAGCGCGTAACAACGAAGAGCAACAAAAGGAACACACAACACTGGACGAGCGCTGACTCGCAAGTAAATGTTTACTGGGGAAAACAGAAACCAGGAAAACATAAAAGACACACTCACACACGCATGCACCGCCCAAACTGTCTCGTCACAAAGGGCTTCATCTATCAGCCGCATCGCTATCCTCCCATTCATAGTAAAAAAAAAACATTTCTTTTTCGACCTCGCAACCGATGGCTTGCTGACACATTGCGCTCCGTAATTAACGATGTGGAAGGCCTCTATCACTTCCCTCGTCACCTTATCTTGGTGCTTTCTTAAGAGAGCAGTCTCATCGAAGGCTGATTCGCACTTGCCAGTCTCGCAGTGCACCGATAGATGGCCAACGTCCGTAGCTCTCAGGGAATAGTCGTGATCCCTGAGCCTGTCGTTGAAGCGTCTACCGATTTGTCCAATATATACCTTGCTACAAGAGAGAGGTCTCTTGTGGCAAGCTCTCTTGCGCAGCTCTCTTGTGGCAACTCTGCCTTCAATGAGACTTCTTCCTGAGGAAAGCACCGAGATGACGTGACGAGGGAAGTGATAGAGGCCTTCCACATCGTTAATTACGGAGCGCAATGTATCAGCAAGCTATCGGTGGCGCTATAGAAAAAAAAATGCTTTTTTTGACTATGAATGGGGGGCTAGCGGTGCGTTGATAGATTAAGCCCATTGTGACGAGACAGTTTGGGTGGTAGGTGCGTGGTTGAGTGTACCTTTTATGTTTTCCTGGTTTCTGTTTTCACTAGCGAACACTTAGTTGCGAGTCTGTGTTCGTCCTTTGTTGTGTGTTCCTTTTCTTAGTCTTCGTTGTTACTCGCGGTTACACCTACACAATGCTCAGCTTTTACCAACTAGCCTAGCTCTCTACTTTGTTATCCCCAAGGCACAGATCAAATTTCCGGGCCCCGCCATATTCGGCGCTTTGCATTTAACACGTAAGAGGAAATTATTGATATCTGCTTGGGACCCCGAAAAAATGAACGCGAACCACATTGATTTACACTTTATTATTTTGCTGCAGCTGCCGGTCACTTAGAGGCGCGTAGACATGTCCACCTCCTCGACATACTCTCCGGAGCCGAAAGCACCCGCCCCATCGGTGTACCACTCTTTCCATGCCCTGTCGGAACCGCTTTTGCTAGTGAGTCACACCCACGCCTGGAAAACTACTTGCAGCTCATGACCGCGTAATGGCATCGTCTCGGCTTTTTTTTTTCTCATTTTTGTTTATGACTCGAGACGTACGCATGCTCTACCAAACGTCTGACGCCTCGTACGACGCGTCGGGAAAAATGAGCGAACCCGACCAGGTGCCAGTCAAACGCGGCCCCCCATGAACACAGGCGACGCCGTGATTGGCTGATGCCTGTTTCGACATGGCTATTTCACGTTAGGTTGTGCATGTGTATGGCCTGACCTGTCCTACAGTAATCATACCGCGTTCAAGCCATAAAAAAATAGCGTGGACGTCATTTCGCGATCATTGACGAGCTGGAAGCACTTGTCCAGGAATCGGTGTGACACAATACCAAAAAGTAGTACCGACGGGCATGAAAAAGCTGCCACACCGATGGCGCTAGGGCATTCGGCTCCAGAGGGAACATGTCTAGAAGGCAGATACTACCGACTTCTAAGCGACAGGTAGCTGAAGAAAAATAAGAATGCGTAAATAATTATGGTACGCCTTTCGTAGTGACCTGGTACTATTAAGAGAGAGAAAAAAAAAACTGTATTTAGCGCACACTTGTAAACTCCTGAACTCAGGTCCGCAGGCATATTTAACCCTTCTTTATAGTCTGCTTCAATATATGAACTGCACGAGAGACTCCGTTCACAAGAAACGAGGCTTGGCCTGACGCCGAGTGCGCCGAGGCGCACTGTGCCTTAGGCTGAGCGTCGTTTTTTTTTTTTTTTTGTGGCCGCCAATCTGGGAAGAAGAACGCTAACGAAGGGCCAGGTCGTTCCGAGTGACGTTGTGACGCCATTTCTCTCAGAGAATTTACGGTAAGCCCCTCGTGCATTCTTATGGCGCAACGAACTATAGCGGTGTCAGCTAACCACAGACTAGCAATCGAACTACTCGGCGGTTCAGGTAAGTCCACGGCAGCGATTACGTTTCGAATTTTCGCTTCTCTCCCCAGAGGGTTGTTGCAGTGCGATGTTTCTAGAAACAAAAAATATGACACGAAATAATTCTTACTTTAGTTTTAGAATATATAACAAATATATGATAACAGATAATGTATACGAGTATACACACTCTAAGAAATGCCTGCGCGTCTGCTTACCCGCAAAATACTCGAAGGGGCCAATCTCTGCGATCTACGAAATCAGCTCAGCGAATGATGAGGCGGAACATCTGTTTAGACCTCAAAATGAAGTCTGCGCTGTGGCATTAGGCAATGCAAAGCGTCCTGCTTGCATTCCGTAATGACACAGCGCAGACTTCATTTTGAAGTTTTAACAGATGTTCCACCACATCATTCGCTGAGCCGATTTCGTAGATCACAGAGATTGTCGCTTTGAGTGTTTTGTGGATAAGTACAAGCGCTGGGCATTTCTTAGAGCGCAGGTCAAACGTTTCACAAATAAAATGAACACTTAAAGAAGTTAGAAGGGAGCCTCTTGGAATTCTCAAAGGGGCTGCTGGTTTTTCGCTATGAGAAATCTTTCTCAAGGCCCTGAAAGTGTCACGTCCCTTGGGAAAACGTCGACTGCCATTCCGAGGGTTAAACCAGGTTCATTTTCAAGATTTCGCCCCTGCTTTGACCACGTTCCTGTTAAGTTGGCAATTGCGAAAGGAGAAGCGAATGACGAAGGTGCTTAGCATATGTGAACACAATAATCGATTCGCGTAGGGAATGGGTGTATGTCGACATCATGTTCAAACTCTCGGTACATGTCGCTGTTCTGAACTTAAATGTTATCTCTGCCTAGCGCAAAAAGTCGTATGAACGCTTTTCTTAAGCCTGAATGATTGGCTCTCACACGTACTATGCGAGAAGGAAGACGCGCGGATTTTCTTCATATCTTGTTCGCGTTAAGAATTAAGGTCCGTCAACACAGTAGTGCCTGACTAAGTTTGACCAAGTTGTCCGTACTTACGTCAATGTACGACGGCGAGTTATCACGGCAACCAAGCTGCGTGTCGCTTGGTCTCCGTGGTAACTCGCGGTCGTACCACGACGTAAACCCCCGCACGAAAGTCAACAATACTGCGGGAATGGGCTTTTAAGATAAGAAAAGGAACCTGGCAAAAAGAAACGATGTTAGGTATAGTTAACGATAATAGTCCCTGGAGAAGGGTGGACAAGGGGGACAAAGGACAAACACAAATCTCCAAACACAGCTCGGTGACTGGTGCGCGACTTAAAAAAAATATGCCTGGTCCTTGTC